TTCTTTTAGATAGCAGCATATATACCTCTATAGGTAGCAGTAATCTAGGAGGACAAGCGGCGTCTAATTCCTCGCGCCCAGCTTCACAGAGATTTATGTCTATACACCACGGTATACATCGATAAGCGAAAGCTAAGTAACATCAATCTAAATTAGGTAGTGAGACGAAATTGACTGGCTATAATTACTCTACCACACCCACTTATAGCTTTCTCTACGACCTACTTTGGGGCCCTCAAGGATTCGAAAAAAGGCAGCAAGAGATCAAGATCGATTGTTTCAACTGTAACACATCGAGCTACCTGCAATTAACGTCAACGGAGGAGCTGGAGCTTACCAGCCTACCAGCCCTCTCTAATTCGCTTTTTACGGACATCATGGTCGAGACAGGAAATCCAGCCGTTGCTTGGCAGGCTTTAACAACTTTTGCAATACGAGCCGCCTACTATGACTGGCTTCCCAGCTTTTCGACAAATGGTAGTATAACTATAACTCATAACGTACTGTGTCAAAGGCCTAAACGATATCGAGGTTTCTCTATAGTCATGGTAAATTTGTTGGTGCACTTCCTACTGATTATTGTAGCGTTTGTTTGGTTTTGCAAAGCTACGAAGTATACAGTTATTAACAACGCCTGGCAGGTCGTTGCATCTCTAGGAACTCCACAGATTGGTAATGTACTGGAGGGAGTTAAGGTGGTGGATGACAAGTCTGTGGAAAGATCGATAAAGAAGTCGGAGAGATCCCTAAAAAGATATAGGATAGGGGATGGCGTGTAGATGTGTCTGTTCAGCACTGGGTAATATTTGATGGTTTTTCTTTTGGTAATCGCGAAGCGCATAGTTTCGCTTGCATGTCCCATCAGCTGATTTCTCTTGCAAGATTTCAAGTTTCCTGAATCGTTGGCCGATGAACACTTGAAGCTATAACGTCAAAATACACATTCAGTCATGCCTATCATGCCATACTGCGAACGCAACATTCCATGCCGCAACCAAAAAACTTCAATACCACCCTCCCCTATTCATTTTTCCCTTCCACGCTCCCAATGGTCCCCAACGCAAGCGCCACCAACGATCTCGTCTTCTGATCCTCCGAGTTCTTCAGCTTCTCCAAATCTTTCTTCCAGCCCTCCCACCTCTCAAGGTTATACTTGACATCGTTCTCCCCCTCTACACTCGCAAACAGATCCCCCTTACGAACATGGTCCCACAGCCTCTCTCCCGCAAGCATGAACCACAAACACGCAGCTCTGATGGCAACGTCCGTAGGCTCGGACGGCTCGTTCTGCGTCCCGAAGGCGTATTTGAATGCTGTGAGTGCCCATGAAGAAGACATGTCGAACTTGATGGCAGGGGAAGCAGTAAGCTGCGCGGCGAAAGCAGTGACAAGCTCCCAACGCTCATTCTCTTCCGGCCAGTTGGTTGCGTCGAGAGGGTCTAAGTAGGCTTGTTATCTTTCATTTTGCTATTGAAGGAATATAGGGAGGTGGCGATCATACCGAACGAGCCCAGCTCGTCGGCAAATGTAATGCCGACGGTAGGAAGGTCCGCCCAGACGATGCTGCCAAAATACTGCACCGGCTCGCCCGTCTTTGGGTCCGTTACCGTCGTGTTCTGCAGCTCCTGCAGCACGGCGATGAGCTTCTCCTGCTGGTCTGGTGACGCGCGCGCACCGGCCTCGAAAAAGCAGGCAGAAGTACGCTCGAGCTGCATGCCGAGTGCCTCATCATCTTGCTCGCTAGCTTGAATGGCGGCTTTAGTGAGATCTAAAATTGTGTGGACGGCGTCGGAAGGTGAAAGAGTTTTCTGATGGACTAAAGCATCAAAGACCTTGAACTCGTCTTTGGCTTCCAGCTCCGAGATGTGTTTGGCCTGGCTATGGCGAAGGGATTCTTTACTCAGTGGCATTGTGATGTTTGGGTGTAATGAGAAGGCGGGGTTGTCGTTGAGAGATATTGATTGAGCGTGAAAGGTTCTCTTTTATCGAGTGAAAGCGCTGGAAAAAGGCCAGTGACGTCATCTGACATGCAGCTCTCTGAGCTGAAGCCCGATATCATTCCGCTTCGATCCGCTTTGAAACAGCTGTGCAAAGAAAAAGTAAGGGTTGGGGCTTACATAGCCCCTCACGCCCCGCACTCAGCCGCTCCAATGAATTTAGCTGCAATCTGCCGAACCCTACACCAAATCCTCCACTTTGCATAAGTGATCAACCGGCACGGCCCGGATGAGCAATGTCCACGTATACCTCCGTTCCAAGCCCCCACGAGCTGAGGCGTCTGTGCTACAGTTTTTCGAAGTACTCAAGGGTAGTGGTCATATTGCGCTTTCAGGTTTGACCAATGGTAGTTCCACAACAGGAATCATTCTTGACATGCCGGTATTTATGAAGCTAATGTTAATGATCATTTGGACAAGCATGTTCGAAATGGCATTTTCATCAGTGCAGAGGAGTACTCACAGCTGAGAGCACGGCACGATAGTCCGTATGCATCTTTGGGTATATAAGAGAAGCTCGAGAGGTTTAAGCAGCTCATTACAAGCACCAAATCAGATCTCAACGACCAAACTACTTCTGTCTCCCTCGACAAAATAACAATGTTCTTCCCTCTCAAGTCTGCCTTCCTTCTCGGCCTCGCTGCCATCTCCGTGGCCTCCCCCATCGCGAACGCAGACGCCGCTAGTGCCAGTGCGGGCGAGGTCGCATACGCCAACAATTTGTTCGCCCGCGCCAAGGTCCCTGAAATGGTGAAATGCAGAGATAAAGAATACTCGAAGGCGGACATCAACAACGCTCTCAGCCAAGCTAGGACCGCACAGAGTCAAGGTGGCGTAGGCGGCTTCCCTAAGTTCTTCGGAAACGAAGGAAAGGACCGAAAGCCAGTGTTCCCGAACATTCCCAAGTCAACAAACCTGTATGAGTATCCCTTGAAGAAAGATAGTGCGTGGACGGGTATGTTTTCCGCTTAGCGCTGTTTTGATAATTTTATTGTGAGGGGATGCTAATGCTTCAACTGGCAGGTGGTGCTAAGGATCCGGTGAGAGTGGTCATGAAAGAGGACTACTCTTACGCTGGCGTTATGGGTCATACTCCCGATGTATCCAATGCCTATAAGAAATGTGCTTGAAAGGTTCCATGGCTTCAAACCGAGCAACGGATAAGCGGTTGCATACTATCTCGTTATTCAGTATATCCTTAACTTTTGCGCATTTCCTTAGCGCATTTATATTGCTACTGGCTTGCATGAGTTTGATAATATGTTATTCAACTTGAGTAAAGAAGGTTTCAGCTCGCATTATGGATTGACATGAAAATGTGAAGCGGTGCCCCAAACAAAGAAAACGAAATATCCGCCGGGTCATGCCGGTGTGGCATCAACACCGCAAACACCATTTCGCGGCTCTAACCACCCGACCACACATAAAGCTTACAACCTTGCTCGTGTTTCAAATCTAAAAACACAAATTATTTCATATTTTGCTGGGGTAGCTAACTTCGAACTATATAACTCTCAACTTAGCTTTCTTTACGTACTAAATTTCAAGTCGAAAGCATTTCTATTTCCGCAGTACATAGTGATGTCTCGACGTCCCTCGCAAGAGAATATTTAGACAGTAACAGTGACTTTGCAAAAATAACTCTAGCTCACACCACCGACATATCGTGAGAATCGTATATGCAGGATCATGTGACTCGTAAGCTGACATCCTACACGAGTTCTAGGAAAATCAGATACCATTGTACGAAAACTCATCCGTATCTTCTCAAAATGCTTGCCTTATCCTACGTTACACCGTTCACCCTTATCAAGTAACCCCGTATACGCATTACGGCAACCTTCACAGCGATGAAAGTCTGATATAAAATCATTCCGATCTCTTCTCCGAAGCATCATCCACTAGCACCACTCCTTTGCACACTTAACAAGCCACCCTATCCCCGCAAACATGCGCTTCATCAGCTCCATCATTCCATTACTCGCTCTTCTCGCCACCGCTGCATCAGCAGCCACATGCAGCACCCCCGGCCAATGCATCCACCTCAACACCATCTACTCCAACGCCCCCAGTGGGCGACCAGGCAACTACTTCAACAACCTACAGTTTGAAGTCTGGGAGGACAATGCGGACAGTAGCGAGGTGGCGCTTTGTCGCGCGGACTGGGACTACCGGACCCCCGCGGGTCGACCGCAAGGATACGTACGTTTGCAAAGGAGATCTTCATGCGAAGGTCGAAAGGCACGCTGATGTGAATTATTGTGTAGATTATCTGCAACACGACAGCGTGGAGCTGGTATGTCCCCAGCTATGAGAGCTTCAAGGTGTTTGACTTGGAGGTGAGGCATGATTTCCAAGACCAGAATAACACGTGAGTATGTGAGCATTTGTGGAAAACAATTGGGTGCTGATTTGATTGCTAGGTGGCATGAGAAGTATGCGCGCTTGAATTTGAACAGCGAGACGGCTTCTTGTGGTGGATCCGCTGTTGGTGCGGCAGGCTGTACTTGGGGGCCGGTGGATGCGGCGGTTTACAATGAGACGACCAGCTCGTGGTATTAGTGTGAAGGGTTTAGTGCAAGGGCAAGAGTAGGGAAATTACAAAGGAAAAAGTTCGTCAGTACTGCAGTGAAAGTGGATGAGAATTAATCAGTTCTTTGTATTTAATATTGATTTTATTTGTTGTTTTTGGGATTTGCGTTTATAACTTTGTTTAACTGGGTTAACTGCATTTCTTTGTGCCAATAAGAAAACGTCTTTGGCCTCGCTCAAATAAGGAGATAACAGGTAAAATTACGCTAGGAAACAAGAGCAGCCTATGACTTGCTGCAGCATTACCAACAGAATCGGCCACTTCTAAATCCTGAACTTGAAACCAAGCCCATATCTCCCTCAAGCACTGAAACACCGCAATGTCTTCACAACAAAACTTTATTCGCCGGCGCCAGAGATCTACGGCGAAATGGCCCTTCCTGCCTTACATCCCACCACCTTTACTGGTCTCACTCTTGTTGAATGGCTACCCCGTCTTTTCCCAGCCGGAAATGGCAACATGCGCAAACATACAGTTTAACAAACTTACCAACATTATACTCGTTTTTTACTTGACTAGTCCTAAGGTCTACAAGCATGCACATTTGACAGGAAATTATCCCAGTAATAGCTCATCATAATAACATAGCGATGGGGATGTGCGGCCATTCTGCTGCAAAGAAACAAAGAGCTATTGCTAACATTTAATGAGTTTTCCAACATCCATATAGTTTACAACCGCAAACGAAATACTCAGTAGTAAAAACCTTCACAAGGAAATACCTATCCCGGGAGCTCTGGAGTTGGTGAGTTTGCTGGCAGTTCCACTGGCTCTTGTTTTTCTTTCAATTCGTCCAGCTCTGCTGGTTTTTCTTTTCCCATCTCTGCCTCAAAAATTGCACTTTCAGGAGACAGCTCCGAGCGCCCCTTCTCTTTGGAATCCAGTTCCGGCTTTTCCGCTAACCGGGCTTCCCTAAACCGAGCTTCCCTGGCGTCGGCTTCCAACTGCCGTTTTTTCCTTCTCCTGATGATCCAGAAATACACTGCGGCTCCTGCTACAAACAATACCGCGACGACAACTGCAACGACAATGCCTGCAATCTTTCCACCGGAGAGGGGGTTGGAACTACTGGCTTCCGTTGTGGTGGAAGCATCAGGGTTGTAGGTGTACGTGTCTCTCTCCACTGTCTTAGAAAATACAGAAGCGAGATCGCTGTAATTCCAACCATTCTTTGGCGTGTTCAGCGTCGCACCCCCTGTGGAGCTGTACAGTTGATCAAATTAGTTTAAAGCGTAACGGAGAACAGCATGAAAACTCACCTTCCCCCAATGATAGTCGCTACTACGTCCGGGACAGAGTATTCTATCTTCGGCTCGAATTGTGTCCGCCAGGTATATGTGGAAGTGTCTAGCACCTTGAAAGGGGGATATGTCGAGTTGCATTTGTCGTTTAAAACCGTCGTCTCATTTCCAACCCCAAGGTTAACGCGGCCACCTGAGACGATCATTTGCGCATCGTTCCACATATCGCATTTGTGCCGGTGGCGTCCAGGGCTGGTCTTTGGATCTGACCCATTGACCCGTATCCAGCGGAATGATGGGATACTAAGCACGTAAATGTCGTCATATGCTTGATCTTCCGCCAGGTCCCAGCCCCCATAGATAGTAATTTGGAAACTCGAGTCGTCCGGTGCAGATGAAACAACAGCGCAGAATTCAGAGCGTTTGGGAGGGATATCGCCTGTGGCTTGTTGTCGGTACCACATGTTCGAAAAAATGTCGTAAACCCAAATATCGCTCATATCTCGCTGGTCCCAGTCCCAGCCTGATTTGAATTGACTTCCTTTGTATTCTGTGTCGTATCCTCCGAAAGCCACAAGGATTCCTGAATCTCCTTTCCTTACGTAGGACATGACGCCTTGTAAGATGTGTGGGCCAGATAAACCCTCCTGTGCCGTCATGAAGCTCCATTGTGGATTAAGTGAGTTCTCCGATTGGAACTTTATAGTTCCATTGGTGCTATTCTCGGATGCCATGAGCCAGCCACCTGTATAGAAAGACACTCCGTTCTTTACATCCACTGCAAACACACCATCGCTGTTGGATGCGTAGCTTATTCTACCGCCTTCTACTTCGATCAGACTCCATTCGTCCGTTGAGGTATTGAATCCCCAAATTTCATTGTAGATGTCGTCCGCTTCTGGCCCAATCATGGCTGCATATGGATATAGCATTTCGTGGTCGTAAAAGTATGTCCCGGTTGAGCCACCTGTCTTTGGAGGTTCGCCGCCAGTAAGTGTCGTGCCGGGCAGGACAGATGTTTGAAAAAGCGACAGATCCAACGGTTTATCAACGTCGATCGTTTCGTTGAGCATAATCCAGTAGAGTGAAGAAGTGTTTTGCCATGATTTTCCATCGTCGAACGTGTAGTTGCCGCTTGAAAATAATAATCGATCATTAACGATGGCAGCTGGCAGCAACAGTATCAGCCTTCAACTCTTCTTATAATGAAAAATATAACGGAGACAAGTTAGCGTCGAGACTCACTTCTCTGGTTCATCAATCCACATATTGCCTCTGCGGAAGCCAAAGACCGGAAAGCTGCTAGGAAGATGAGATAAAGAGCGTAGATCCTAATACAACAACGGGTCATCCTTGTAAAGATGAAGGTGTTAATGCAGTACTTTTCGTTTCAGACTTCAAATTTTATGGGGCGGGAAAAGATCGAGTTTTAGACGTTTTGCCATTTTTCAGGTTTCCGTACACCGACCCATGATAGGCATATACTCGCGACATGGGCTCTAAGCATGTGATATCCTGGGCTTACTGCAGTAATGTGTTCACCAATCAACAATTGCCTCGTCGATATTATTTTGAAGTGATAACGCATCTATCCCATGCTTCACAAGGTATTCTAAGAGAAACTCGCCTTTCCCCGCGGAGACTGTGGGTGGTTATTCCTCATTCGGAGTGGCGCAATATGTATGCTGACGCCAAGATTTCTAATGTGCAGAAGCTGACCTTTGCTATAATGATAACCGGGTTCTCTGCAGCGTTGTGATGCCTGCGTAAATCTACGCCACAGTTGAACAGGAAATGCAGTAGATCAATGAAGCTGGAGCGGTGGTACTGAGAAATGTCTTCTCCGCATGTTTGAGCGGAGCAAATGTTGCTTTCAAGCGACAGGATGAATATGTATTGCAAGCATTGCGAGAAATTATGTGAAACATTATTGCTTACGGACATCGTCAGGCCTGCTACTTGTCAGCCCCCTTTGCCACTGCTATTAAGATTCACGGCTATAGCGAGGCGAGCAAGGTTTGCTCTGGAGATAAGGTTCGGCCCGTGATCCTTTATCTTTCAGAAGCTACTTTAACGAAGCAGGCTCATGATTTGCTCGACTTGACTGGGCTTTGTTAGGCATTTGAAAGGCGTTCAAGACCAAAAAACTAAACTCTAGAGCTGTTTGAGAAACAGTGCTATGAAGTTCACGTTTGGGATTGAAAGCAAATATGTGGCTGCTTACACCGGCTTGAGCGGAAATTCCCCTGTGCGGCATTTTCTCAACTTGGATTTAAGCATGACGGAAGGCGACAATGGCAAGGATAAGCATGCTAAATGTCAGCCGTTTGAAACAAACTTTTCTAATTGCGGAAGCGTGCAGCATGCATAAGCGACAATCACGTAAAGCCTCCACTCCACGTGCGGAGAAGACGTCGGTCTTATACGTTCGTCCCGCTCAACATCTCCATATCTTACACTCACGCTGGAGAGTGTGCCTGAGCTTAGTTTAAAGACTAAAAGCATATTTTGTGAAGTTTTGCGTTGAGTATCGGGTTGAGAGGACAGCGAATTGCTGGCATGTGCGGTTATTCACTATGGCTAAACTCCGTGCGGGGATGTCGGAAGTGGGGTCGCAGCTGCAACTGCCAACAGCGGTAAAGACCCGATGGGCACTTCACATAACCAATCTGTTAGAGATATTATTGGCCAAGAGGTGGTGCCTTGTTTATTTCTTGGACCCAATAATTGTCAAAGCAATTACCAGGATGCTGATTCTATCACAATTGCCCGGAACGTTGCGAACACTGGCGATGTGACTTTCACTTATACCAGATAATAAGCAGGAGCTCTACTGGCTTACCAACACCACTGAAACTGAGAGTACTTTAACATTGCTTTGAATAATATCAAAAGTTTGCTGTTTGCGTGGTTTTGAAAGAACAACGACTGCACAGAACAAACAGTAGCAAATATAATTCTAAAATAATAACACTTTAAATCTCTTTAGCTCTAAATTAACCCTTTTTTTATGAGTGTCTGTATCGCGTCACCCTGGTCAAGCCGATTGTGTAAGACTACTATGATAGGAAGAAGCGCTTTGCCACTTTGTTTGCTTTTTCCGCCCCAACGCTAAGGAGAGCGTACCTATTTGGTTTCACTACCAGATCGGCGAACTAGACTGTATGTAATACCACTCGGGATGTCGCCTGGTTGAGATTTAACTAGTTGTTGGCAGTATAGCCGTTCAATCAGTTGATTTGCTATGCAGGCATCCCCGCGCAGTTATCATTCGAGTTGGTAAAACATCCGAACAACTGGCATGATCTCACGCCATGGCTTAGCTTTTAAGCAATTTCGCTTGCTTCCCATTAGGATTTCTCCGTATTTAATTTATAAATCTTCTTGTTGCCTCAGTCTCATAGAAAAAGAGTGCCCTACTCACGATTAGACTCCGGCTTTCTGATTCGCCGATGACCACTGCTTGGCAATATTTGCAACATCTCATCGACCTTAAACAATCGTTGCTGCAACTCGGCACTAAAGCTCAATACTTGGGGGGTGGATGCTGTCAGCATAAAGCGGGAAAGAGATCAGCTTTTCGAGAGTCCATAAATTGCAAGTGGTAGAATTTTGCGATGAAAGCAAAAAGTGGGTATCTGGTATACGATCGCTACATCGCTTTCCAAATGTGATTCCTCTCGGTATTCTCACCTAATTTTTAGCCCCCACCGATCTTCCAGATGCGAATATTCTCCGAACACAAATCTACATGCACATCCGGTTCGAAGTGTATAAGATCGTACTTCGTCCCAACTTCCGCACGCCCATCATTTTTCCTTTAAACCCTTTTGTTTTTGCCAGCCCTGTCAGACTTCATGACCCACCACGCTCTCGTGTTCGGCGCTTCAGGTATCCTGGGCTGGGCCGCAGTGAATGAAATCCTCAGCAGCTATCCGCAGAAGGGCACGTACTCCAGAGTGACGGCAATCACCAACAGACCCCTAAGTTTCGAGGATTCATTGTGGCCAACTCCGGGACCGGAAACACCTGCTTTGAACCTCATTTGCGGAATCGATCTTTTGAATACCAATGCAGATGATCTGAAGCAGACTCTTAAAGAAAAGGCCCCAGACATTGAGACAGTCGATCATGTCTTCTACTTCGGTTAGTCTTAACATTTGAAAACCAATAGTTGACAAAAAACTAAGCATGTTTATTATCATTAGCATACAAATTTGATCCCGACTTTTCTACTGAAGCTGCCATGAACCTTTCTATGGTTCAACACAGCTTTGACGCTCTGGAGTCGCTTGCTTTGAACTTACGCTACGTTGTCTTTCCCACAGGAACAAAGGTACAAAGTATAACCTAAAATGGCCTCGTAAAATACCCATGGTTTTTTACTGAAACAAAATACAATCAGGGCTACGGAATTCATCTTCCTTCTCGCCCATACAAGGCACCTTTTGTCGAAACCATGAACACACTCCCAGAACCCGCACGCAGCGAGCTTTTTTACTACGTGATCCGCGACGAACTGACGCAGCGCCAAAAAGGCAAAGCCTGGAAATGGGCTGAAGTGCGCTGCGACATGATTGTACGTTCTTCCTCATCTTCTATTTAATAAAAGAGACACTGACTCACCATCTACATTCAGGTCGGCTTTGTCCCACATTCCAGTCCCTATAACCTCGTTGGCACATATGGAAACTTCCTCTCCCTCTATCGCTTCATGCATGAGAAGGGGCACCCTGACGCGCTCTCTCCGCGCGTGCCATATCCATCTCCTGGCCCTTCTTTTCGCGTCCTCAACAATGAAGGCAACCAGCGCGTTTTCGCGCACTTCAGCATCCACTTATGCCTGAATCCTCAGCGCTCAGGCAATGGCGAGCTCTACAATATCGGTGGTGAGACTGTTCCAGTATCATACGGAGATCGCTGGCGCGACATTGTGGCCAACTTTGGACTCGAAGGGGTAGATCCCGTGGACAAAGAAGATGCAAGATACCTAGGTGGTGCAGTTGGATTTGTTAGAAGCCATGGAGACATGGTGGAGAAGTTAAGAAGGGAGAAAGGAGTCGATCTGCAAGTGATAACCTTTGAGGATGGTTTTGACATGTGGATGGAAGTGTTTGATTTTGATCATCATCTTGCGCTGGAAAAAACAAGGAGTGTGGGATTCAAAAAGGAAGAGGCGTCAAAGGACATCTGGAAGTGGGTTTTGGGTATTTACGCTCGTGCTGGAAAGCAATATCTAGGCGACGGTGGGAAGGAGACAAAGTGGACATCAAGAATTTAGTTTTTAAACTGGGCCAAAGACTATCCACCACTGTATGCTCACTGTTAGTCCGGGCAAGTATTTATATGGGTCGGGATATGCCTCTGAATGTACATGTCTCGTGATAAACTTACCAGTTGCTCATCCGATTTGGATTCATATCCCAAGTCCCAACTACAAAGTACCCAAGTCCCTTAGAAGAATTCCCAGCGCCCTCGACTGAATCGACAGATCTCCAAAACCTGTCATGCGGCCCCCTGGATCCGGTCAAGGGCTCAGCATTCCGGGTATTCAGCGCGAACAACCAAGAGTCGGGCACCATGAACTCAAGGTGCAGATTCCTCGAACGGATAATATCGTCAACTACACTAAACCAAGCAGCCTCAATCCTGGGGGAAACAACCCCATAACCCTCATAATACCATGTTTCAAGATGGACCCTCAATCTGCGTAGCCGCGGAAGAAGCATCTCGCGCCAGGTGTTTTCGTAACATTGGAGTTCATGAGGTTGGCCGGGGTCAGGAGGCCATATAATACCCCAATGGGTAATCTCGAGAGATGTAATTGATCCGAAGTGGTTCGTAGGAAGAGCCAGTGAAATGATAGATAATTGTCTCCAGCATCCAGGGTTCTCATAGTCGTTGCAATCAGGAATAGATGGAATCGACGACGTACTAACTCTGTACCAATCTAAAGCTCTATGGTAGTAGGGGACTTCATGTCCTAGTGGGACGGCTATAGGAGGGGTTTTATGAATGGCATATCTCATAGTAAAAGTGTTTGTCTCGTATAGGACAGCGATGCCTTCGTAATATCTACTCGAGGTTACAACGTGCTTGTGAACGCCATCATCGTAGTAAGTAAGGGTTTGGGGTAGTAGACTTACGCCTTACGGCACACTAAAATCCATCGCGCGTCCACCCTACACTTTTCTGGATTTTTCGCGACACCATTCTCTTCGCAATACTGGTTATCACGATAGCCACATTCGCCCGTACACTTATCTTTGCAGAGATTGTTAGAGCCGCGACAGCAAACGCAACTTCTCCAGCGCCACTCCCTGCGCTGTCCTGCTTTTTCTCTTGGCCATCTACTCTCATAACCACCGTGCCCGTTTCCTTTGCGAATAGGGTAATCATACTCCATCCCAATGTGCACAACGCGTTTTCCGAACAAGACTTCATATAAACGCAAGCGGATATCCAGGGGTAGTCGTCCAAAAAACGGTGACTGCATCTGCTCATGCATCCCCAGATCGTCTTCAGTGGTCGGTGTCAGTGGACGCGGACGGGGATGAGGGACGGGTAGCGCAGTCGGGCCGTCCCCAAGAGGTCTGCCTATTAGGGTGGTGATGCGTTTGCCTAGGAAGCGGAACCGATTCGGCCTATCGACGGCCGGTGGCGGTCGCACCCGCCGGATAGGAGGATCCCACGTTAGTGTCATGGTTTGATTCGGGCTGTTGGGGCGTGGGTAGAAGTTTTATGCTGGAATAGAGTGGGGGCCATTTAAAGATAGGCGAGTGCCGTGCCATCAAACTTTATCGTATGATACTCGAATGGGGCCGGATTTACGCTAGCCGGTTCACATTATGACCCACAGCATGTATAATGGGGGCCATTTCAGTGAGCACCACATGTACAGGTGATAGCATCAGTTGCGCTTTCAGCTTTGTTGGTGGCTTTCAATTGCTCAACTATTAATCACTATGCAGACACTGACAAAAGGGCAACCAATCGGAATCTCCTATCATTTATCTGCTTTCACTTATTTGTTTCTGTGAAGCTGGGCGCGAGGAATTGGACGCCGCTTGTCCCCCTAGATTACTGCTACCTATAGAGGTATATATGCTGCTATCTAAAAGAACACGTTTCTTGTTGAGATCCTTAATTCCTTGCAGTAGAAGAACGTGTGGTGTAAGGGAGTTAGTTTATTGTGTAACAACTAACCGTAGGGTTGAAGCTGTGCGTTGTTAGAGTGATACTGGCTGACACACCCCCTTTATGATGGGCAATTTGATGCTCATTATGATAAAAGAAATAAGCCCTTTGAGACTTAAAAGAAAAAACCGAGAGAGGTAAAAGGAAACCATAATGAAACAACCTAATTTAGTG